GTTTATGTTTATGGCGTCTTTACTTCATCCAGAACCTTCCTGTGGGGAAGGGGTCGGCAGCTTCCTGGGGCCCCGGAGGAAGACAGCAGAGCGTCGGGTGCCAGGGCGCGGGGACCACCGCCACCACGCGTCGATCGGGGTGTGGCGGAGGGCACGCCCGAGCTTGGCGGCGAGCGAAGGGGGAAGTGAGAATGGAGAAGGCCTTTGCAGAATGCGGCAGGACTTCTCAGAAGCCTTAAGTTGGGCCTGTCCCTTTACAGGAGGGACATTCAAAAAGAGGAAACAATAGCCTCGGGACGATTTTCCGAGTATTCTGAATATTATAACAGAAATACCCTTCAAAGTCTGCCTGCAGGGGGACATGCCCGACCTAACAGAAGCCGCTCGCGCCTTCTGAGAAGTGTTCTGCCTCTTCGGAGGAGGCTCGGAGCCTTCTCAGAAGGCCCCGGGGGACCAGCAAGCCTTCTGAGAGGCCCGCCCCTTCTCACTCCCCCCCCGCGCGCGCCGCCGAGAGATTCGATCGGGGGGGGGGCGCACGGCACGCCCGAGCGTCGCCCTGCACGGGGGGTGCGCTCAGGCGTGCCATCACCCCGGGGTCGGCCCCCCCTCCGATGGGCTCTCGGTGGTGGTGGCCCCCGTTTCTCCCCCGAGAGGCCTCCCGCGGCCCGTCGTCGCCGGAGAGGGACAACGGGTGCCCCCATGACTTAGAAGGAAGCACGCAGGGCTCGGTGCCTTTCGCCGTCGTTAGCGACGGCGAAAAGCATCCGGGGTGCCGTGCCCCGCTGCTTTTCCCGACGTATCTGTGGGATCCCGCGCGCAGTGCAGCGCGTTTCACCTTCGTACTACCTCGCCCTGCCGTAGAAAGCCTGCCCGCGCAGGCACCTTGAAAAGTGCGGATCCGCATGTATGTGGCACGTGCATTCTTGCATTGTTCCAGCGGAACGCCTTACTGGATATACTTCACCCTCCCATTGTTGGGCTCCCCTCAGGTCCCACCAGAGACAATAGTATTACTACCACCAGCCAGGGGGGTGGCTGCCCCACCCTCTCGAGCTGGTGGCACGGAAGGAGGTGCCACCAGCTCGAGGGGAGGGAGCGGCCCCCCCCTGGCTGGTGGTAGTGGTACTTTTTTTGTCTCTCCTGAACATCATGACGTTGCAACAAAAATCGGCGGCGAGCCTTGAGGGGAAGTGAGAAGGGGTGGGCCGTCTCAGAAGGCTTGTGATCGTTCCCCAGGCCTTCTGAGAAGTTGTCCACGCCTTCCCCGAAGAGGAGAAAACTTTCGGCGCGATGGTTTCTCAGAAGTCCCGCCGCCTTCTGAGAAGGCCTTCTCCTTCTCATCTCCTCTCCTCGCTCGCCGCCGAAAAAAGATGCGGTCGGACCGCGGTATAAGATCGAGGTCGGTTCGGGACTTCGTGCTTTTGGGATGTTCTTGTGCATCCTGGGGAAGGTACCCTTGGATGGGCTGTGTGTTTTAGCCGGCGGAGGGTCTCATGTTCTTGAAGAATGTTCTTCTGTCCTAGGTCCGACCGCGCAACATCTCAGAGCACACCACCTGAGCCCCAGACTCCATCATTCCGCGCTGAGCCCCAGACTCCGTCTTTCCGTGCTGCCTTTCGAGCCGGATGGACCGAATTATGAGGGCCTGGGGGCCAGAAGCCCTCCTCCTCCTCCTCCTCCTCCTCCTCCTCCTCCTCCTCCTCCTCCTAGATGGCTGGGCCCGAAAAGAAGTGGGACGCCAGGATCTCAGGCTTGGCTTTTCGCCGTCTCTGGCCCCCCCTCGGGCCCCCGACGGCCCAGGGACCGTCAGAGGGAGCGGCTCGGGAGCCGCGGGCCCCGCGGCGCCCCCTTCACTGGCCCGGCGGCCCCCTGCGGGGCGGCCTTCGGGGCGCCGCGGCGGTTCTCCCGCAGGGCCCCTGAGGCCTTCGAAGGTCGATCGGGGATGAAAGACGCCTGGGGACGTGCTTTTTCCTCCGTGTTGCTGTGGTCCCTTCTTTTTGTGTTTTTTTCCCAGCCCTCCTGCGTTGGGTTCTCGTTTTGAATAGAGCACTGCTCGCGCGTCTCCTTCCCACCCCCTCCCGTCCCTCTCTTCCCCCTTGCCTTTTGCCTCGCTCGTCGCTGCGTGCCAGCTGGGGGGCTGCGATCTGTGAAACTGTCGCCACTTTCGAGGCCTGCTGGGGGGCCCAGCACAGTGTGCACCCGCGGCGGATTCAAATGGACCTCGCCATCCCTGGGGGGCTGCGATCTGTGAAAACTGGCCTGCTGGGGGGCCCAGCACAGTGGGTACCCCGCGGACTCAAATGGGACCTCGCCATCCCTGGGGGGCTGCGATCTGTGAAACTGTCGCCACTTTCGAGGCCTGCTGGGGGGCCCAGCACAGTGTGACCCCGCGGATTCAAATGGGACCTCGCCATCCCTGGGGGGCTGCGATCTGTGAAACTGTCGCCACTTTCGAGGCCTGCTGGGGGGCCCAGCTCAGTGTGCACCCACGGCGGATTCAAATTAGACCTCGCCATCCCTGGGGGGCTGCGATCTGTGAAACTGTCGCCACTTTCGAGGCCTGCTGGGGGGCCCAGCACAGTGTGCACCCGGCGGATTCAAATGCCTCGCCATCCCTGGGGGGCTGCGAAAACTGTCGCCACTTTCGAGGCCTGCTGGGGGGCCCAGCACAGTGTGCACCCACGGCGGATTCAAATGGGACCTCGCCATCCCTGGGGGGCTGCGATCTGTGAAACTGTCGCCACTTTCGAGGCCTGCTGGGGGGCCCAGCACAGTGGGTACCCACGGCGGATTCAAATGGGACCTCGCCATCCCTGGGGGGCTGCGATCTGTGAAACTGCCGCCACTTTCGAGGGCTGCTGAGGGGCCCAGTACAGTGGGTACCCACGGCGGATTCAAATGGGACCTCGCCATCCCTGGGGGGCTGCGATCTGTGAAACTGTCGCCACTTTCTTACCTCGCTCGTCGCTGCGTTTCGAGGGCTGCTGGGGGCTGCAATCTGTGAAACTGTCGCCACTTTCGAGGGCTGCTGAGCTTGTCCCAAGTAGCTTACATATCAAACAACGGATCCTGCAATTTGATTGTCCGTGCAAGTTTCGGCCAACTCCTCGTTTCCCATGATACAAATGGGTTGGGTACGTCACAGGGTAATGGTCTGTTGTGTTTGTTTTTATGTTTGATGTGTGTGTTGTGTGTGTGTGTGTGTGTGTGTATGCGTGGGCATTTTTTGTTGGTTTCGGAATTCCTTCGTGCCGTGTTCGATTCGGTTCCGTTTTGTAGTGCCGTTTTTGTTTTGTTTCGAGCTGCAGTTGGTTTCCCGTTCTGATTGGCTGAATCAGAGTTGAAAGCGGACGAAAAACGCCCCCCAGGCGTTTTCACATCAATTCAGACTCCCCCCCCTGCCCCCCACAGGTAATTGTAACGACTGGACGTGGGGAGGGCTTGGACCACTCCCACATGCTGGTGCTCGCACGAACACTACGGCGATCGCAGTGCACCCCCACCCCGACGTGCCCCAGCGCGTTTTAGCGTTGCCGTCACCTGGCCCCCCCCCACCCCCTCCGCCCTCCAGGGTGGCGACAGTTACCAGAAAGCGATGGCTCCAGTTGTGATTTTCGCGCGTTGCGGCATCTTCGATCGACGTCGGATCTCCGGGTCTGCCCTGGCAGCCCCTGGCGTGGCTGGGTCGGCGGCGGCGGCGGCCGCGGCGACGGCGGTGGTGGGCGGCGACGGCGGTGGTGGGCGGCGGCGATGGCGGCGCCGGGCGGAGGAGGCGCGGCCCGTCCTGGCGGCGGCGGTGGAGGGTTGTCACGGGCATCGCTTTGGGGGGGGGGGAACGTTGGTGGCAACTTCGTGCGTCGAGGTTCGAGGTTTCTGGACGGTTCCGTCGGTTCTCGGCGGCCGCTTGGCCGCGGGACGCCTTGCAGCGGCTGCGCCTCGCCGCGGGCGTTCCAGGGGTGCCCGGATCCGCCCGAACGGCGTCCGGAAAGCCGAGTTACGATCCGAAAACGAGGGGGGGCCCTATGAGCGCCTGCTAGCCGATGGGGGCTTTATCTGCCCAGGAGCGTGCACATTTGCTACGCGAGGCCTATCCCCGATCGATCGGCAATGTATCGCCGATTCCATGTCGATACCTCCCCCCTAAGCTGGTCCCCCCTAGCGTTGCCCCTCAGATTAGCAGACGAAGAGTCGTATAACATTTTGTTTTCGCGTCCGAAGGCGGCTGGAAAGTTTTTGCCCCGACAATGTGGGCATAACGTCTCCAGCCGCCCCGGGACAGGCATCCAAGGTGGCGGAGCAGCTTATCTTACGCCGTGCCTCGCTCGCTAATCGGAGAAAGAACAGGGATTTGGGCGATCTGCGCCCATCTGGTCCTGCTGGGCCCCCCCCGTCGCCATGGCTGGAGCCGCCTGGAGGTATCCTGGTCCGAACGCGCTTCAGGAGAGGCCCAGCGGCGGCGGCGGCGGCGCCAATGGCTCGGGGGCGTCCAAGAGGGGGTCGCTGACTGGGGGTGGTGGTGGATGTCATGGCTGGGCCATGAAATCTCCCAGGATTTCTGGCCTCCTCTTCTTTGTGGCGTTCCGTCATGGGCTGTCGTCAATGGGGGGTGAAGGACCCTCCAGTAAGCAGCGCCCAGTCCTTCTTTCAGTTCGTCCCCTGGTCCCCCCATCGTCCGCGCACTCGCTTCCGGCCACGATCTGCGAACCCCTCTCTTGTGCGCCCCCCCTCGTAGACGACCCCGAGCGTCGTCGGCAACGGCGGCGACGGCGGTGACGAGCGGCAGCGTCGGCGACGAGTGGCGACGGTGGCGCGATGAGCGGCGACGAGCGGCGTCAGCGACGAGCGGTGGCGGCGGCGACGAGCGGCGACGGCGGCGTCGGCGACGATCGGCACCAGCGACGAGCGGCGTCGGAGGCGGCGGCGACGGCGGCGGCTGCTGCGGTGGCGGCGGCAGCGGCGAAGATCTCCGCGCCGTCGGCCCGTCGGCGTCTGCGGCGCGCTCGCAGGGCCGAGCCGTTCTGTTGCCTCGCCTGCGGCAGAGGCCAGCGGCGGCCGAGCGGGAGGGGGGGACCCGCGTCCAGGAGAGCGAACTCGAGGGAGTAATTTCCTCCTGGTCCTTCTCCGCCTCCTCGTCCTCGTCCTCCTCCTCCTCCTCCTCCTCCTCCTCCTCCTCGTCCTCCTCCTCGTCCTCCTCCTACTAGTTACTGATCCTCCTCCTTCTACTCCTCCCCCTCGTCCTCGTCCTCTTACTCCTCCTCCTCCTCCTCCTCCTCCTCCTCCTCCTCCTACTCATCCTCCTCCTCCTCCTCCTCGTCCTCTTCCTCGTCCTTCTCCTCGTCCCACTCCTCCTCCTCCTCCTCCTCCTCCTCCTCCTCCTCCTCCTCCTCCTCCTCCTGTCGTCGCAGGCCTCTGCCGCCGTCGCTTCGATGCCTGGTGCGCAGGATGCTTGCCCTGCGCGAGTTTCGCAAGGCGGCGCCTTCCGTGGCGCGCTCCCGGCGACGCACGCCGCTGGTGGGTTGACGGGCGAGCGCCGCGAGGCCCAGCGCCTCGCGGGCGCCGCCGAAGGCCTCCTGCGGGCGGCCTTCGCGGTCCTGGCGGCGCCGCCTGCACCCGCCGCGCCTCCCACGGCGGTGGCTTCGCCCGCTGCTGCCTCTCGGCGGCGGCGCCGCCCGCGTGGGCGATGCAGGCGTGCGGGTGCGGGATCGACGGCGCAGGCGACGGCGAGACAGCTGGACGCGGAGGCGATGGACCTGGGGGCGAGTGCCGCGCTGGGGGACGCGGCGCAGGGCAAGGACACGGACACGGGCAGGGGCGGCCCGAGGCCCCCTGCTGGCGACGTCGACGTCATGGATGAAGGGTGGGCGGGCGATCTGCCCGTGCGGCCGCCCCCGCGCCGCCCTGGGCTTTTGGGCCTGCGGGGCGGCGACCGCGTGCGTCTCCGTGACTGTCGGTGGGGGGCGCTCTACGGCCACCCGGTGGAGACGGAGTCGGACGGCCAAGTGTGCGTTTTGGTGGGCCATGGCCGCCGTGCGGTCGTGTTGCCCACTGCCGTCGAGGACGTGGAGCCGTTCGGGGAGCTGGTGCCTGCGCGCGGCTCCGGGGCGGCGGGGGGAGGAGGATAGTGCCCCGTCGGGCCTTCCCCCCCCCCCCCCCGAGCTTTTTCCTCATCGGCCTCGCGGCGCTGTTCGGTGTGTTGGTGGGCTTCCGTATCCTGGTCGGGGGGGCCTGGGTTGTTCAGCCTCCCGAGTGGCGGTGGAGCGGACCCAGGCCCTTCGCGCTTCTCTTTGACGTTCCTTTAGGGCCAACCCGCCCCACGCCTGCTCCTCTTGCTCTTCGTCCTTCTCGTCGTCGTCGTCCTCCTCCTCGTCCTCCTCCTCCCCCTCGTCCCTGCTCGGGCGCCTCCCTCGTCGTCGTCGTCGTCCTCCTCCTCCTCCTCCTCTTTCATCTCCTCCTCCTCCTCCTTCTCTCCTCCTCCTCCTCCTTCTGCTTCTCCTCCTCCTCCTTCTCTCCTCCTTCTATTCCGGCGGCCAGGACAAGCGAAGTCGATGTTTCATCGGCAGCGTCAGCGATCGCAGGCGCGTCCGAGCAAAATCCTGCGGGCCGCGCTGGTCACGGGGCGCGCCAGAGCGGTTGGACAAACACTTCCTCCTCCTGCTCCTCTTCCTCCTCCTCCTCGTCCTCCTCCGCCTCCTCCGCCTCCGCCTCCTCCTCCTCCTCCTCCTCCTCCTCCGCCTCCTCGGGGCGGGCGCGGAGGCGGAGGGAGCAGAGGGGCCCCGCCGTCGAGAATCGACTGAGGACAGGCTCGCGCAGGGGGCCTCGGGCACCGGAAACAGAAATCGAGGGCTCCCACGAGGGCGCGAAGTTATTCGCGCTTCGCGCTTCGCGGTCCTCGTTCCTTCTCCCCCTCCTCCTCGTCCTCCTATTCTCCCTTTGGGAGGGCGGCGCGAGAGCGCGAAGTTATTCGCGCTTCGCGCTTCGCGCAGCGCGAAGCGCGAAGTTGGGAGCCCTAGGAAATAGTTCGAGAGAGTTTTGCAGCACCCTGGCCCCGTGGGTCCAGCCTTCCCCAATTCGGGTCAGTGTAGGCGTCGCCGATGCAGCGGCGACGCGGTACAATGTGAGGCCCGACCTTCTCCACGCCGAAGGCGCCGATGCAGCGCAAACGTCGCCCATGCCTCAGCGATGCATAGGCGATGCAGCGCGACCTCCGACCCCAAATACTCGGGCCCTATTTGGGAGGCCTCCAGGAATAGTACTCAACAGTTCTGGGCGTTAACTGAACAGCCCTGCGCTGTTCGATCATTCCGTCCCTTAGACTCTGAGACGCAGGAGTCGAGCAGGGCTGGGCACTTCAGTAAATCGGAAGTGCACAGGACAGTGATCGGACAGGAATCGACAAGCGAAACCGTTTAGCAAACGCACCTATGTAATCTGCAGGTGCGTTTAGTAAACGGCTTCGCTCCTGGGCTCTTATTATGGCAGTGGTTCCTCTGCCCTCAACAAACGAACATAATTCTTTACGCTTCGCGTATCCCCACCAGCCCATCTCACAACAGCAACTCTTGCGAAGCGTGCCGACAGTTGTGTTGTTCAGGCGTGTGTCCGCTTGGCCCCGCATTTCTCCCCTGTTCCTCCTTCTTCCCGCCTCCTTGTACATCCTCCTTGTGGGGGCAGCGGGAGAAGGACGACGCGGAAGAGGAGGGAGAGAAAGCGGTGGGAGGCAAGAGGGACTCAGCGGAGAGGACGATCTCAGCGATGATCTGAACAACGACGACGCACCCGACGACGACGACGATGTCGACCGCAACGACGACGACCACAACCGCGACGACGACGACGACGACGACGACGACGTCGACGACGACGACGACGAAGGCGGCGGTGCGGGCCCTCGTTGTGTGAGTCCTTCGGCCCCGTCGTCCTTGTGTGAGTCTTTCGGGACCCTATTCCTGGTGTGAGTCGCTCGGTATCCTCGTCGTGTGAGTCGTTCGGGCCCCTCCTCCTGGTGTGAGTCGTTCGGGCTCCTCGTGTTGTGAGTCGTTCGGGCTGCTCGTGGTGTGAGTCGTTCGGGCGCGTCGCCCTGGTGTGAGTCGTTCGGGCCCCTCGTCCTGGTGTGAGTCGTTCGGGTCCCCCCTCCTGGACAGAGTCGTTCGGGCCCCTCCTCGATGTGTGAGTCGTTCGGCGAGGGGCCCGAACGACTCACACAAGGAAGAGCCCGAACGACTCACACCAGGGCGAGGGGCCCCAACGACGCACACCACATGCATTCTGGTCCAGGACGTCGCCGTCGTGTGAGTCGACAGAGTCGGTTACGTGTAAGACTGGTGAACGACCGCCTTCTGTCTTGCCTCCCATCGCCTTCTCTCCCTCCTCCTCTTCCTCCTCTTCGGCTCCTAGTCGTAGTAGTAGAAGTAGTACCAGTAGGATCAGTTGTAGTACTGGTAGTGGTAGTAGCAGTAGTAGTAGTAGTAGTAGTAGTAGTAGTAGTAGTAGTAGTAGTAGTAGTAGTAGTAGTAGTAGTAGTAGTAGTAGTAGTAGTAGTAGTAGTAGTAGTAGTAGTAGTAGTAGTAGTAGTAGTAGTAGTAGTAGTAGTAGTAGTAGTAGTAGTAGTAGTAGTAGTAGTAGTAGTAGTAGTAGTAGTAGTAGTAGTAGTAGTAGTAGTAGTAGTAGTAGTAGTAGTAGTAGTAGTAGTAGTAGTAGTAGTAGTAGTAGTAGTAGTAGTAGTAGTAGTAGTAGTAGTAGTAGTAGTAGTAGTAGTAGTAGTAGTAGTAGTAGTAGTAGTAGTAGTAGTAGTAGTAGTAGTAGTAGTAGTAGTAGTAGTAGTAGTAGTAGTAGTAGTAGTAGTAGTAGTAGTAGTAGTAGTAGTAGTAGTAGTAGTAGTAGTAGTAGTAGTAGTAGTAGTAGTAGTAGTAGTAGTAGTAGTAGTAGTAGTAGTCTAGTAGTAGTAGTAGTAGTAGTAGTAGTAGTAGTAGTGGTAGTAGTAGTAGTAGTAGTAGTAGTAGTAGTAGTAGTAGTAGTAGTAGTAGTAGTAGTAGTAGTAGTCCAGTATGTAGTGCAACGAGTATGAGTAGTAGTAGAAGTACAAGTAGTAGTAATCGTAGGGGAAAGGGTAGTAGTAGATGTCTTTTGGAAGCTGCTCGGAGGCCTCTTGGGGCGTCTTCGGCGCCTCTTGGCGCATCTTGGGGACCTCTTGGGGGTATCTGTGGGACCTCCTGGAGGCGTCGTGGTGCCTCCTGGGGATCTCTTGTGGCCCATCTGGGGACCTCTTGGGGCCATATGGTGGACCTCTGGGGGCCCTCTTGGGGGGCTTGTCTGGGCGCTGCCCCTCCTCCTGGTGTGACTCGTTCGGGCTCCTCGTGGTGTGAGTCGTTCGAGGCGCGCGTCGTGGTGTGAGTCGCTCGGGCTCCTCGTGGTGTGAATGGGTCGCGCGCCTCGTCCTGGTAGGAGTCGTTCGGGGTCCTCCTTCTGGCGTGAGTCGTTCGGGTTCTTCGTGGTATGAGTCGTTCGGGCCCCTCGTCCTGGTGTGAGTCGTTCGGACTCCTCGTGGGGCCTCTTGGCGGCCTCTTGGAGCCTCTTGGGGCCTCTTGGGGGCCTCTTGGGGGCCTCTTGGGGGCCTCTTGGGGGCCTCCTGGGGCCTCTGGGGGCCTCTTGGGGGCCTCTTGGGGGCCTCTTGGGGGCCTCTTGGGGCCTCTTGGGGGCCTCTTGGGGGCCTCTTGGAGGCCTCTTGGGAGGCTCCTGGGGGCCTCTTGGGGCCATCTTGGGGCCTCTTGCGACCTCCTCAGAAGCGCAAAGAAGCGCCGCCCCCTGAGAAGGACAAAATGAGCCCAAAACCATCGTAACATCAATGGTTTTGCTATGAAGGATGATGAGCGCGGCCCCCACGGGAGGCCAAAATGGGGCCAACACCCTCGTAAAAACAATGATTTTAGCTTCACAGAAGAGGAGGGGGCTACAAGAGGGTCCCCCCGTCGGAGCCAGAATCCTCGTGAGGGTCGTCGTTTTTTGGCCCTCCCAGGCGTGGAAAAAAAGACCCCCCCTGACCACCCGCGGGGCTCCCTCTCCAGGCCCAGGGGGAGGGGGTAGGGGGAGGGGTAAACCCCTCCCCGAAGGGGAAGAAGGGTGGTTGGGGGGTTGAGAACAGAGAGAGAGCTCGCTAAACCACTCACGCCCAAAGGGCTGGTGGGATTATTGTGGGGATGGTGCCAAGCTCTGTCAAAGAAGCGCAAACATGAATTAATGCGCGCGGATCAGCGGCGGGGACCGTTTCCGTGCAGAATCGGCTCGCTCAGCCGCCAAGCCAGGCGGGATTGGCCTCGTGTTTTGTGGGGGTGCATTTCTGGTCCGTCCATCTGGGGGCCCACGCGCCAGATCCACGGATCCGTGATATGTGTCGTCGTGCGCTCGACACTGGAGGACACATGTTGCCCGTAGCGTGGCTCCAGGCTTGCTTGGCGCAACTTCTAGCGGACAACACCCGGTATGGTGCTTGCTTTCTCGCTATCGGGGGCGCCTGTCCCAGGGCGGCTTGAAAGCACATACCTTTACCGTGTGAACTTTCCATCCGCCCAGGGACAGGCGTCCCCGATGGCGGACACGTGTATGTTGTACCTTTCTGCATGCGCAACATCATCTTGTTAGCGCCTCCGCTGCGAGAGCTTCGAGATCGTTGCGATTGAGAAGCTTACCCGAGACGTGCCCAACCCCTTATCCATGGCGAGGCGACGAATCTGTCTGAGAGCTCCATGCACAAGACACGTTGCGAGATGTGCAGCGCTTTGAACATGTTTTGCCAAGCAACGTCGGCCCACGAGCGTCGCACGCCTGCGCAGTCGCGACCCAGATCGCACAAGGGACGGCGACGACAGGCACGACAAAACAAACATAGTGCAACTGGGGGCAGAAGTGGAGGAGGAGGGGGGGAGGACGAGGAGGATGGAAACGGAAGGGCAATCCCTACTGGTGAGAATATCGGCGACATGCGCCACATTTGCCCGTCTCACCCCTGCTGTTGTGGGTGGCAAGCAGCTGAGGAGGGAGGGCGGAATCGGCCGCCAAGGACAGCTCCACGCGACACGTGGCTCCAGCGCTTCGCGATGCAAACGCGCCGCGCGTTAAAAAAACAACCCCCCGCCCAACAAAAGCGCGAGGTCCAGCAGCGATCCGCGTGACTGCCCACGAGCGTTGCGACGGTTGCGACACTTGCGCGGTTCGCAGCCGTGCAGGGAGGCGGTGATTACCCGCCTCGGTGGATTTCTCAGGGGCTCGCGGAAGCGGCGACAATTTCGCAGTTCGCAGCGCCCCATGGAGCCGCGAGGTCCCGCAGGGATCCGCGTGAGTATCCACCCCGCTGGACTTCCAGGAGCCCACGAAGGTGGCGACAGTTGTGCAGGTCGCATCCCGCCAGGGAGCCCACTCCGTTGAACCTTCGTGGTGACATTCGCGCAGTTCGCAGGCTTCCACTAGTGCGTCAGGCCCCGCATGGATCTACGCGACTACTCACTCCGCTGGACCTCCCGGGAGCCACATCAGTGGCGACGGTTGCGCATTCCGGAGCCT